GGGCTCCACGCAAGATCTCACCCCGTGGGGTCAAAATGATCACAAGAACAATGAGCAAAAATCCCAGGACCACATGGGGGGACCTAGTGAATGACCTGCAGAGAGCTGGGACCAACGTAACAAAGGCTACCATCAGTAACACACTACACCGCCAGGGACTCAGATCCTGCAGTGCCAGCTGTGTCCTCCTGCTTAAGCTAGTACATGTCCGGGCCCATCTGACGTTTGCTAGAGAGCATTTGGATGATCCAGAAGAATATTGGGAGAATGACATATGGTCAGATGAAACCAAAATAGAACTGTTTGGTAGAAACACAACTCGTCCTGTTTGGAGGAGAGACAATGCTGAGTTGCATCCAAAGAACACCATACCTACTGTGAAGCATGGGGGTGGCAACATCATGCTTTGAGGCTGTTTCTCCGCAAAGGGATCAGGACGACTGATCCATGTACAGGACAGAATGAATGAGGCCATGTATCGTGAGATTTTGAGTGCAAACCTGCTTCCATCAGCAAAGGCATTGAAGATGAAACGTGGCTAGGTCTTCCAACATGACAATGATCCCAAACATACCGCCCGGGCAAAGAAGGAGTGGCTTCATAAGAAGCATTTCAAGGTCCTGGGGTGGCCTAGCCAGTCTCCAGATCTCAACCCCATAGAAAACCTTTGGAGGGAGTTGAAAGTCCGTGTTGCCCAGCGACAGCCCCAAAACATCACTGCTCTAGAGGAGATCTGCATGGAGGAATGGGCCAACATAACAGCAACAGTGTGTGCCAACCTTGTGAAGACTTACAGGAAACGTTTGACCTCTGTCATTGCCAACAAAGGATATATAAACAAAGTATTGAGATGAACTTTTGATATTGACCAAATACTTATTTTCCACCATAATTTGCAAATAAATTCTTTCCAAATCAGCCAATGTGATTGTCTGGATTTTTTTTCTCATTTTGTCTCTCATATTTGAGGTCTACCTATGATGCCAATTACAGGCCTCTCTCATCTTTAAGTGGGAGGACTTGCACAATTGGTGGCTGACTAAATACTTTTTTGCCCCACTGTATATGTGATCCGGGGCTAAAGCTGCAGCCATTTCAGAGGCATTTTAGTCTTAACACCTGTGTGAACGTAGCCTCTGGTATGTGTAGTATTTTAAAATGGCTACAATTATAGGGCTTATTCAATACATACACCTGTCACTTCAAGAAGCTAGATAAAGGTTCTGCAGTTTGGATAAAGATTGAGGCCCAACTGCTGTCTTCATTTTAATAGTCTGCCTGCTGTGATGAGAGCAGAGTTTCAATCACTGATGAGAATGTGGCTTCATAGAGGTCAGCTACATGGATCAACCTTCACTGCACGAATTCAGACTTACTCTGGCCTTGTCTTGGAGTCACATGGTGAACCCTGCACGGGCATGCACAGAAGCGGAATTTGTTGTCAGTAAATACATTTTCTCTTGGAAAAGTAATTGCTTTGGTCATGGCAAAAGAATTTACAACTTTTTGTGAAATAGAACTATTAGGTCAGTACTGTTCAACACATTGTCTTGTCAGAATGCCAATTGCAAAATATCTGACAAAGATCGGTGATGGTTCCCAATGTTGCCAGGTTGTAGCAGTGGCTGCCGGTCACAATTGTGGATTTCCAGGCACACCTGAACACAAGCAGAATGACTATAAATAAGAGCAGAATTGTATTGTTCATACATAGTGAAAACACAAACTGGTAGCTCATAACTAATGCAAACCAGTGAGCAATTTCTAAGCCATAAAATCTCATAAAAATAAAGGTTACCAAACATGCTGAACATAGTGTCCAGTTAAACACATTAAAGGAGGAATTCCCCACTTTCTACAAATGTGGTTTAATATAAAAATGTCAGGACTACCACCTAAGTTACTGCTACATATTCATATTTTCTTAATTCTTTAACAAGAGAGAAGGTGCATTAAACACCATACAGACACCCATCTAGGACAAACTTTCACAAATGCCACTTGTAACTGATGAACATCAAAATGACACATTATAAAGTCAATTCCAGTGACCATGGTTTGAGAGAGAACACGCGTAATTAATACAGAAAAACCTCCATAGATTTGTAAATTCAGAACTCCAAATCTGTATATTTGTCCTGGGTCAGTAACATAGTACTGAAGCCAGTAGATTACCTTGACAGCCAGAGGCATTTGAAAAATAAGGCTCCAGCAATGGTACCCTCCCTGTTTCTCAGGAAAATGTCCTTCAAGTGAAAAAAAAAAAAAGTGTGTGGGAGGAAACCTACACCAGCACAGATAGAGCATGCAAATTCTATAGGATAGTGTGATGATCAAGATATGAACAGAGTACTCCAGTGCTGCAAGACAGCAGACAAAAGAAATACTTTGCTTCTTTAATCAATGTAAAATTTAGTTGGGAAAAAAAAAAAAAAAAAAAAAAAAAAAACTGACCACATCCCATGCCTTTATCTCTATAATGCTGCACATATAAACCATACTGCTTTTTTGTATGGCACAGAAACACTGACTTTTGGCTAACCTGCTGGAACAGGCTTGGCCTACTCTGGAATCTCTTCATGGAGAAGCAGCTAAAATTCCCGCACATGACACAGCAGGAGCTCAACTAAAGCAAAACACATGAGGTCACTGTTGTATGGGGGAAATGATTCCATGGAATGTTGGGAAACAACCTGCCAATAACTAAATTTCATAATATAGGGACTGCTGCAGACTGTTGACCAAAAGCCAATATTGGCTGTACAAATTAACAAAAAAAAAAAACAAAAAACACAACTTTCACTGGAAGCTTTTCTATTACACATATAAACAAAATCCAAATTCATCTTTGTGCCAATTTGTAACCGTGAGGAGCTCAGGATATGTTTTTGGGGAGTGTGAAAAGTCATTCAAATACACAGCTTTGGTCTGTGTGCATTTTTTATGGATATTCTATTGGCTTCTGACATGGCTTATTCAGAGGCTTCAGAAAAAAGGGTTCCAAGTAAATCTTCCTAAAATGACCACATCTGAAAATCCTAAAATTACAGCTTGTTCCTTTACAACTCCAACTTGGTAACAAAATTATAATAGCATCTATAAAGACCTCCTAGGCACTATGCTGGTATTCATTTGCTTCACATGTCAGCAGCATGTTCAGAATCGCAATGTAAATAAGCCTTCTGGCAACACGAGTACCCTATTTCTGGATGTGCAACACAATAAGGGTTGCACAGTCACTTCCTGTCATGTGCTGCATCATTTAGACTCCCCTCTGTAGTTACAAAAACTACAAAAGGTGATATCACTATGTTAACTCTGATGGACGAGAAAAGTCCCTGTTCAACGCCTGCAGAACTTCCCAGAAACTACACTTTAGCCCAAAAGACTCATAGGACCTGAAATTTCAGAAAATGTGTGCTGCACACTGGAAGATCATTCTAAAGCACAACATCACAACATTTTTTTTACAAAAGTGTTGGTATAGTGGACGTTTTGAGACATAGCCTGCTTGGGGGAGGTGTGTAGATCCTGGAATTGAGCTTTAACATCATAAATGACACTAAAAAAGTTCATATGTGGCTGGTATTCTCGGAGGATTAAAACACCCCATTACTCTTGAGAATCTATGTGGACAACTTTCCCTTATGGATACATGGGTGCTGCTATTGCTGGCTTGTGTTTGAAGGTGTAAGGTCTAGAGCTGCCATTTATGGCCTTGCTTCACTACTTATAAAGTCACTGACCTGCATACAATGTCAAACGCAAGTCAGTTTCCATTTTTCTTCCTCATAGGCTCATTCTGGTACTGCTTATTTTACACCAGTTGTGTTTTCACTGTGATAAACAGGTCAAAAGAACTCACATAAAAAAAAATCAGTGGAAATTAAAAGACCAGTAAACCTTCGGAGTTCCAATTTGTATTAAATGGAAACCAAGTTATTAAATACTTACCTTAATTTTTTTTTTTTTTTTAAAGCCCTACTATGTGATAAAAGAACTGTGCCGCACCCCCCACCCACCCCAAACCATTTTTTTTTTTAAAAATAAAAACACCTATCTAAAAGCCTTTGTTAATTACCTACAGCCAAAGTCATGTGATGCTCCAGTCCCAAGTCTTCTCTTCTGGTTACTTCCTAGTTTAGGTCTTTCTATGGGTGTCCACCTCTGTGCGTGACCAATGTGGACACTTCCTATTGGATGGGCTATAGCAGGATCTCCTCAGAACTGAGGAAACAGCTGACGTTAGCTGAGGGGATCGGTAGTCTCTGGGGGGCATCATATTGCTGGACCAGCGGTCCCTGCACCCGGAAGCAGTGGATGTGGGGCCTGGATGTGGCACTTAGGCGAGTATAACTGGCTTCAAAAAGTAAGGGGAAAAAAAAAGCCTAAAAGAATGAGAGGTGGGTGGCAAAAAGTTTTTTGCACAGAATGGAGCTTTAAAAAGATTACTAGAACTGAAAAACGTTGTTTTAGGGTCATCGCCTTCCTTATACAAGCATTGAAGTTTGCTAATACCTTCAGACCATTCAGCATTCTAAGGAATTTTCCATTGGAAAAAAAAGATGTAGGTCAGAGATAACGGCAACTCAGTTGAAAAGTAAAGTTTGGTCTGTCATACATGTGCTTGTAGTTGAGGTCAAAATCTCACTGCAGAGGTTTCACTCAGTACTAAATATGTAGCAAGGAACCAATCCTTACCCTGCACCACAGAGAAAAAAAAAAAAAAGCTGTCCTTCACTGAAAATGTTTAGGAAAGGTGTGGGTCAGGTGCAATTCCTCCCCAGCCCATATCTCGCCTACTTAACCCACTTGCATTTTAAGGTTTTTAATTTGCAGTCTAGGTTTACTGACCCTTTAAGAGCCATATTACTGCAAGTCTGATTTACATTCCACTTCCTTGTGTGCGACCATATGCAACCTGGCAGATAATTTGGGTAAGAAATATAAAGTAAGAAAATACAATCCGCTTCATTGTTTGTGCATTACTGAAACAAGACCTCTTCAATATCCACCGGTTTGCTGAAGATGTTAAAGCGTTTGTCTGTGGCCAGCCGCTTGGTAACATCCCTGAGGAACAGTCTCAGCTCCCGCAAAGTGTTCTCTTCATGGTCCTCCATCCTTTGCTTCTCCACCTCAGACAATTGACGTGGGGGAGGAGGTGGTGCAGGTGGTAGAACTTCCAAAGATCGAATTTCTGAAAGACAAAAGTTTTTATCAGTCCTAAGAATTGATTCTTCTATCCATTATGAACGCTCACAGTGGAGGAACAAGGGGGAAAGGAACAGTGGTTGATGAAAGATAAATGACATTTTGACGGTAACAATTTCATTTTTATGCACAGAAGTATTTCGATTAATGTAGGGTGTTATCAGTGCATTGAGTTTTTATATCACTGTATTTTAGCCATCTACTGCCACTATCATAACAGATATTAGGGCAATCATTCCCTTTTTCTTCATGCAGTCAGACTATTCCATTAATAACATAAATCTGTTAAAATGACATTCCATTAAATGTAACAACGGATTACAAGTTATCTAGGTCATTTGCTGAAAGCTAAATCACCCAAGGAATGAATAAAGAGAAACATAAGGCCTAGCTCACACCAATGCAGTGTGCGTTTTGTCCATTTTGCAGTGCGGTTTGTGTTTTTGCCACGTTTGGTTTTTTTTTTTTTTTTTTTTTTTTTCAGTTTTAGATCTTTTTGTTAAAGGGAAATGTTTTTGTTGCTGGGCAGAATAAAAACGCAAAACGTGGCAAAAACGCACTACGTGCATTTCAGCAGCATCTCCATTTAACTATTGTAGCAAAAACATTGCTTTTTGCATTTAAAAAGTCCACAACCCTCCATGGCACCTCCAGGAATACTGCATAAAGCGGCTCTACTGCATTGTGTGGAGCTGCTCTTCAGAGCGCTTAGGATCTGCCCACCACCAGAGGAAGGAAAGCGTTAAGATGACTTGTGGCGTTACTGGACTGTAAAAAAAATAAAAAAAAAGTATAAAGATTTTAGCCACCCCACCCCAAGGGTCAGACAGTGCACCTCCAGGGGTGAAGGAGCACCTGGTTGGATAATGCACATGAGTAGTGAACACGTGCTATGCCCATACTGTACATATGTAATGTACACATGTTGTGGCCATGCTGTTGCTAACAGCCGCAGTCCCCATGAAGGACATGAAGCTGAACAATACAACTCAAGCTGGTTGATTGCAGTCACATGACAGGGATAACGTGACAACGTTGCATTGCCTAAATACGGATTTGTTTAAAAATTGTCTCCTTTTGCCCCTGCTGAAGCTTTTGGTTTACATGATACTCTGTCAAGAAGGGATCAATCCTTATGTGACAAGGGAAAGCAGTTTAGATGCCATGAAAGGAAAGGCTAATAGGCAGCATGCTTGCAAGCCTTTGATACATTTGTTCGGGCCGTGTTCTGGTTTATCATCTCTGCTGTTTAAGGGGTCACTGCTAAGCATGTAAATCCCATTATATTATCAACGACAAAGCTGCTAATTTACAGTGTACTATTGTGGCGTATGAAGAATAGAACAATGGTGAGAACTAGGCTGGGAATATAGTGCCATCTCCTCTGTCCCAAGAGTTATGGTCTCCTACTGCAGCTGCCTCTTGTGTAAATCAGAGATTAGAATTAAATCCGCTTTTTCCCAGCAAGTAACATATTAATGGGTGATTAAGTACTTCTTGAACACTCACCTGTTTTTTTCTTTTTTGGAGGTGGCATGGCTGCCTGACTGAGGATCAAATCTTGGAAAAAGTTAAACCGATCTTCTTCATTAGGTCTGCTAATGATGAAGACCTCTTCATACGGAGGTCTAAAAATACGCTTCACCTGCAGAGAAACAAAATTTGCAAAAAAATAAAGATATATTACAGCCTTGCAACCAGGAAAGCCTAACACAATGGGACATGCTGAGAATAATAAAGTTCTTATGCATAAAGCTAAATTCCAGGCAGATATAAGAAAATTAATGCCATTCTGTATTCCTTAATTATTAAGGCTTAATAGATCCTTAGATGTACCTGGAATCAGCTTACTAAAAGGCATGTACAACATGTTACATATTGGAGAGCAGGACAAGTAGAACAAGGATACAGTCATGCTGTAGAAGTAGGAATAGTTGCTCCGCCACACTCCTCACCTGGCCAGAGTAGTTAGTAGGTAAAAGCAGCCTCAGTTTGATTCATCCAAGCAATACCCCCATGGCTTGGATGAATGGAGCCGAGGCTGCTTTCACCTGCTAACAGGGGCGGACTGACAACTCATGGGGCCCCTGGCAAATAGGGGATCATGGGGCCCCTGTGTCCTTGCCCAAACTCAAAAAAGCCTATGAAAAAGGTACCAGGGGCATCTCATGGGGCCCCTACTGACCCCGGGCCCTCGAGCAGTGCCAGAGTTTCCGAATGGTCAGTCCGCCCCTGCCTTCTAACCACTCAAGCCAGGTGAGGTGTGAGGCAGTAGGGCTATCTCTTCGCTCTTCTACAGCTTGCTTTGGATGAACCTTTCCCTAGTCTGCACTCTAATCAGCCGCATTCAAATCATCAGACTCAGTTAGCATGATCGGGGGCCACTAAGCATTTGTGGGTCATAAGGATCCAATCGGTTATGCTGTAGTGCAAGCAGCATGTCAATAGGAGGAGAGCGTGCAGTACAAGCAGAAAGCGAATAGGAAGAAAGCATATATAAGCAGCACACTGATAGGAGGAAGGTGCACAGTCACAAATGAGAACATCAGTCTGAGCTTCTCCTTTCCTTCCCCTGTTCCTGTCTTTAAAGACACCCTTCACCAATAAATATTAAGACTGAATTTATGTGAACCCCACTTCATTAATTCAATATTTATTCCTGTGAGATCACTATATTCAGTCACATGGTCCAGAGCAGGTTTTTTTTTTGTTGTACACTTTTACAGAAGACACTATTGCGTTTGTGTCCTAGCTGCAGGACAATATATCTGGAACTGGAGAGCCCTATGACCAGTTTGCAGCTCTGAGGCAAATTTTAGGCACGTTTTATATCCACTTTGATACATTATGGTTACCTTAACACCTACCAGGTGATTGGGTAGTAAAGAGGAATAACCGCACTCAGGTCAGTAAAGCATTCCCCTCTCCTTCAAAAAGCAATTCCAGAAAAATTAAAGCCATTAACTGTTAATGGGAGCCAGGAAACTCTGCAACTTTTCCAAAGTCAGAGTTCACCTAAAAGTAGCCTATTCCAAAGCTCTGCATCCAGATACCAAGCAGCTCCCCGATTTCGTCACCTTCCAATTCACACATCATTCAATGTAAGACTCTAAGATAGGGCTGAATCTGACCAGTGGCTGTAAGGCACCACTAAAAACTTTCCACTAATCAAATCATAAATCCTTCCAGGTGATATAGAACAGGCTGCCTTGTGGGTGAGAGGGTGGGTGCTGACTATTCAAGGCCAAGCTCGACTGTAAAGCACCTTTAAACATATTTCCAGTATTAGATTGACAGAATAGGGCGTTTAAATTTTTCAATGTGAAAGTCAAGCCAATCTAAAGAAATTTCAGAAAGTTAAAAAAACTTTTTAAATACTACATAACGGAATTAGCGGTGACTTGGATGTTTCTGGAGCTCACCTTTAGGTACAAAGGGGAAAAATGAAGTTTTGAATTTACTGTGGAGTGTGGATAATTATTTTGTACTTGCCTCAGAGAACCCAGTAGTTGCCAATTAGTCACTGTAAAGTTCGGCACACTATAACACTGTTTTTGCGTAAGTGTTTTAACAGGATACAATAGCATTATGTTATGATCTCAGTGAGTTAGAATTCAGTTTTCCGTTACAGCAGCGGAATAAGAGTTCAAGCAGAACATGACTTATTACAACACATTTTAATTCGCAAATACAAAAAAATAAATGTGTTTTAAATCCTCTCATCAAGGACTACTTGTGTGAAATCGAAATAAAATTATCTATTTTAAGGGAAAAAAGGTGTATTTTCCTTTGGAGGATTTTATTTGTGTTTAGTTACTTTATATTATTAAAGCAAACCTGTAGAGATAGGTCCCCAACAAGGACACAGAAAGCTACATTTGCTTTTGCAGCACTGTGGTAAACAAAGGAAGGTTGTAAACAACTGTCACAACCCATTAAAGTGCAGTATATTTTATGACATTTAACACAGACAGACATTGTGTTTAGTGCAAGTCATGCTGCAGTCCAGTCAGCTCTCCGTAGTATTACTCCTCCCGTCTCAACTGCTCTATCTTCCTGCCGGATCTGTTGGTGCAAAGTACAATTTGAGGAGCGGAGGTTACGAGGGGGGAGTAAGTTTATAAAAGTTCAGAAAGATAATGGGGGTGCCAAGGCATGAAGAGCTCTATAGGTGAGCAAGAGGATTTTAAAGTCTATACAAAACCTGACGGGTAGCCCCTAGTGCCAGTATAAGGGTAATATAGTCACCTGTACCAGACCTAGTTTGTACGTATTGTATTTTGCATTTTCGAATAGGGGGCACTGCAGTTCGTGATTTTGCGCACCTGTGCCGCCCTGTAGCAGTATTTTGCAATTCGCGGCCACGGCTGTCAATCACCGGGTCCCCGCCAGTGATTTCTGAGGATCTCTGACGGGGAGAACAGTTTTGTTTACTAACAGTTCTCCCTGTCAGCTCGGGCACACCGCTTTGGATGGCTGTGCACAGCACAGCCATGCAAAGTAGTGTGATTACAGTGAAGCAAACTGACATCAATCCCTAGTAAAAACACTCCCAGCTACACAGTTAACCCTTTGATCGCCCCTCATGTTAACCCCTTCCTGCCCAGTGCCATTAGTACAGTGTCAGTGCTTTTTTTTTTTTAGCACTGATCACTGTATTGGTGTCACTGTGGATGTCAGTGACACCAAGTCAGCTCCCCCCCAGTGTCAGAATGTCCACCGCAGTCACGCTATAAGTCGCTTATCGGTGCCATTACTAGTAAAAAAAAAATTTAAAAATCCCAGTATATATACACCATTTGTAAACACTAAAACTTTCACGTAAACCAATTAATTAAATTTTCTAAATTGTCGTTTGTTATGGCACAAAAAAAAACACAAAAACGCACAGGCAATCAAATACCACCGAACCAAAGACGTAAATTTAAATTTGATTGCAGCGTTGCATAACCACGCCAATTGTCAGTTAACGCAACACAGTGCCATGTAACAAAAAATGGTCTGGTCAGGAAGGGGGGTAAATCCACAGGAGGGCAATTTGCAATAGTGGATTTAGGTACACCAGCAAGTAGAGCATTGCAATAGTCAAGTCGGGAGAACACAAAAATATGGATCAGTTTTTCAGCTACAGTGTATGACAGCATAGGATGCAGCCGAGCCAGGTTTCTCAAGTGGAAAAAAAGACGTTCTGACAACATTTTGTACATGAGGATCAAAGGTTAAGCTAGCATCAAATATCACCCCTAGATTTTTCCATTTTCAATTCAGACTGAAGCTCAAGTACAGACCCATCAATGGGCTGTCAGGACTGGCCTTACACAATTGATGTCACATCAGTGTGACATGCCTTGTCACAGTTTAATTGAAGGAAATTATGGGCCATCCAAGAATGCAAAGACTGAGTACATGAGCGTGTGCAGTGTCTGCACCAATGCTGCATTACCTTCGCTGGTGCCAATTTTGAATGTGAAATCTACATTGTTAAAACTTTCTGCTTCAAGGCATTCTTGAATCAATTCTGCTATCTGCATAGAATGTATTACACCCCGGCCCGTTTGTTTAAAATGCATAAGAGAGACGCTCCTATCTGTCATAAATGTGAGAGTGAGACAGGTGACTTTCTACACATAGTTTGAGGATGTAATAGGATTCGACTTTTTTGGTCACAAGTGATGACATTTACTGCCGTTACCTTCTACCTTCCTAATATTTGTTGTCCTAAATGGTGTCTGTTGGGAATATTTGAAGATTTAGAAATGTCTGCCATTTCCAAAACACTTCCTTTGTCTTCTTCTGCTTTATTGTTCCTACAAGACGATTGTATTTAATTGGACTCGAACCGAGACCTTGCATATTGAGCCATGGAAGAAGGTTATTAGCCACACCTTACCATTGTACAAATTGACGTATGAAGCTACAGGATGTCCCAAAAAGGTTTTATAAACTTTGGGGTCCTTGGCTTGATACTCAGGACACCAGTGACATTGTATTATCCGTAATATCTGTTCCCATATAAAGAATTGTTATGTTGCTGGCCTAATGTATATCTGTAATTCAGTACTGGAACATGTATATCGCTTTATTGAGTGCTACCTTGACCAATAACCTATTTTCCTTCTCAGGTATAGGTGAATGGACATTTTCTTCTAACCTACTCTATTGGGGTAAATGCTGAGATTTCTTTTTTGTAGATTTCCTTTTTATATGCAGGATGTTTCTGCCATTTGGTTTGTTATGGTTTACATAAGACCAGGGGTAAATGGCTTCTTATGCATATGTACCTGTAATTAGTGTGCAACAGATACTATTATAGTGACTGTCCAACTTATGAGGCATACAATCTTGTAATAAATGTATACCAGAGGGGCTGCATTTATCTTATGACGGTATCCCTCCATTTTTTTTGTACAGATAGTTTGATTGTTGCCACGTATATGCCTATGTCTGATGTGCCTTTTACTCAATAAAACAGTTTAAAAAAAAAATTGCTTACTCTCTTGGTTCTCTGGAATTGTCTCACAATCTGCTCTAGATTGCTGGTGACTCACCTCT